GGGCCATGAAAATTCTACTTTAATGCCTGCCCTGCACAGCAGAGCCAGCACTGCAGGAAAAACCCTCACATTTTGCCTGCTGCATTCCTTCCCTTTTATTGCAGTGGTGGCCAAAACAGGAGCACTGCTGCCACACCTGCACACGGGCCATGGTGCCTTCCTCCTGCTGCTAGGGCAGGACCCAAAACCATTCCCAAGGGCAGCAACACAGAGTAAGGACACCTGAAGTCACGGCAACTCTGCAAGACACAAGCAYGCTCAGGCAGGTGTTCACCAGGAGAAATTAGGGAGACACACTCCCATGGGCAACACGGGTGAGTAGAAAGGTGTGGGTGCACACACCAAGGCTCGCTCTCTGCTGACTTCAAGAGGATGCCACACCAGATCAAGCCCTTAAAGCACCATTCCCATGCAGTGGTGGCTCCTTCTCTGCACACAAGTGTAYTTATGTCTGCAGAGGAGGGATGGCAAAAGACAGGGGACGACACTCTTAACAAGCAGGTCGCACAGTGTGTGAAGGCACCACGATCCTCCTAGCTACAGTGTGTTTTATGATGGTGAGGCACTATTAGTCATCATGTTGAGAGCCCTAATGCTCAGTGTGACCCCAGACGATAATGAGTCCAGCTCCTTTGCTGGCCTCACTCTTCTTTCCCCTCCAGTGACTGTCATGCCCTCCAGGATGTCCTTCAGCTCCCCCTGAGGAAGAGCCAGGCAGCTAGAGCTGGGACCAAGATGCATTCCCTTCTTAAATTCCAGCTAGCACTGGATAGAAAGAGAGGGAAGGAGAAGAAAATAAAGGTTTCAGAAAAACAGTCTGTGTCCTTTATTCTCTCCTGCTTTCTGCCCTTGGGTTTATTCATATGGTCATCATCATCCACCCCTCATGCTGTTGAAGCCTCTAACCATCTTTAATGTACTGAGCCTCGGAACACGAAATGCATGAAACTGAACCACAGTGAGATAAGAAACTTGCCCAAGGTCATTCCAAAAGCAGGTGGCACAAACCAGAATCCAGCAACAGACACTGCCAAGGCGGTATCTTTTTTTTTTTTTTTTTTTTTTTTGGTCCCTCCAAAAGCCACTTTTCCATTCACCCTCTCCTCCTTCCCTGCATTTGTTCCTCTTCTCCATTTCCCTTTCTCTCATAACACCCAGCCCCTACTACCTGGACGCTATTACTTATTTGCATAGTTACACGGACATTTATAAATGCTAACTACCTCATTTGCAGAGATTTGGGCGTTCAATTAATTTAGCTTTTTTTTTTTTTCTCCTCCCTCTCTTTTTCCAGCTGGCAAACGGTCAGAGAAAAGATCATGAAACTTTTTAATTAATTCATTACTCAGCACAGTCCACTAGCTTTTCTCAGTAGTTCTGACAATGCAAATTGTTCACAAATGAACCGTCACAAACACTCACAATGTGACTCGTGTAACGGCTGCTGCACAGGCCAAGAGCAGAAGCCACGTGCTGGCATCTCTACTTTATGGGCCGCAGCGCTTGCATCCGCACCGAGCGCCAAATGAAACATCCTGAGTCTGCAACAGAGCTCGGCCTTAGCACTCAGTGAAAATTAAAGCAGTTGAGCAACATCTTGCAGAGCTTTGAAGAGCCTATGGAAAGGTATAGGAAGAGGAACATCTCCTGCTCAGCACACACGCAGCTCATTCTCCAAGAGCTCAATTGCACAGCTGGGACAACATGACGTGGACCAGTGTCATTGCTTTCCTTTCTGGAGTGGGCCTTCACTTGCATTTCCCTCTGCCATCCCTTCGTGTTTCCTACATCCTGCTCTCTATGTGAAGAGTACCACAAAGGAGGCTCAASATTACTGCTGCTGTCAGGCAACTGCAGGCTGCATCACATGCGCCCTTCGCTAGGGGCAAATGCCCACAAGGAGCACTTCACAGGAGGTGGAAGATGAGCAGCTGGATAGTGAAGCAGTTGCTGTGTCAGAAACACAAACCAAGCATTTTTTTTCCCCAAAATTTACTCATTATAAAGCAAATACTTGCTTTGAAGGATGATTCTGGGAAGTTTAGATAAAATAGAATTCAGGAAACTGAGCTTGTAATGCGAAATCTTCTACCAGTCATGGACAGGTCGCTTCACCTCTCTCCATCTGTTCATCAGTCACCTGGGCTATACTGAAACCTGAAGCACACTCCTCTCTGCATGTAGAGAGGTACTGAAGAAAACAGGGCAGAAGAGGCAYCTTTTTTCGTCACCTCTGTGCTCAATGTGCCTTCCAAAAAGCAAAAAGCAGTATGAGAAAAACAGGGTTTATTTTGGCTGGCACATGGAAAACGAACCATGTTGTTAAAGCTACCATGGGATAGGGATATCTGGAAGATCTAATTAAACTAACCATTTGCTGAGGSAGAGAAAGAAAAAAGATCAGTCAGAAGGCAGAGAAAATTAACCTACAGGGTCTGAAGAGGCAGATGGACTCCAAGCTCAGTCCAAAAGCAGACAGGGAAACGTCAGTGTGGGCACAATCGGGGCAAGGCAGGAACCATGTCACCAGTCCTGCTGGCCATGAAAGGCTGGTACCCTTAGGAGCTAAACTCGAGCTAGGCAGTCAGATCAAAAGCTAACCTCTAAGTGCTGCATTTAGAAGGAAGAAAAAAGAGGCTCCTGATTCCAGGAGGAATCCTTTGTATACAAGGTACACAAAAAGGAAGGTCGGTTCCCAATGGTTAGTTCAGGAGAGCTTAGGATCTCACCCAARGGAGTGAGAGGCAAGAACTGAAGTTTTCTTCTCAGTCTTGCACCATATGCTCACTGCCTGGGTTTGTCCAGCGTGCAGCCCAATCTAAGCCACGCTCTGCGATGCTGCTCTGCAGGATGCTCCACAGAGCCCTGGCACCATTTTGAAATCATCCTCTGGGAAGCAGCTTCTTACTGGTACCCACCGTTTACCACCYGACACGTGCCCCACTGGGTGGGAAGAAGTGACGTGCAGGACAGAAGCTGTGAGCGAAATCACAAGCAAGTGGATAAGAAAGTCATCTCATGAAGCCAAACAAACAGAAGGAATGGCAAAGGAAGCCAATTTCCATGTAGAAATCAGGAACTTTAGAGGACAATATCCTAGAGAAAGAAGGAAAAATTCTAGCTATCTATATTTCTAATTTTGCCATCATTGTAATGGACTGATCACATCTCTCTAATGAAGTGAGATAGGGGGGAATCTAGGTGTAATGGGGACATCATGGGTCTAGCATCTCTCATGTGGCCTGCCAAGCCACTCAGCTACTCAGTTATGGAAAAGAGATTAAAGGCCATCATTGCACCTTACACATGCTATACATATTTACATCTCCGGAGGACTGTGCTCGGCTTTGCCTTTGGATCACCATCAATATGGATTTTGGAGGATGGTAAACTCACCCAAGGTTGTTAATATAATGGAGAATATCCTGGAACAAGGAGATGTTACACAACATAGTTCAGTGCTACACATGTCTGAAATCCACGTGCTAACCAGAGAAAGCAAGGACAGATTATAAAGAAAGAAGTGAAGGAGATCAGAGTGGTCATGAAACCATAAAGCAAAGCAAGAATTCAATTTCAGGACTGTCAAACTCATTTGTAGCAATGAAAAAAAAAAAACACCTGAGAGGCTGCTGTTCTCAGAAAAGAATCCACTGGGGTCACAAAGGGAACAGGGCACAGATGAAGTCCTCACCAGCAAAAACAAATCTACTCCCAGCAGCAACCCCATCTGATCAGGAGCAATGATGGCAAGGCCCCTTTACAGGTGCCATAGTTTCACTGACTATGTTTTCAATGGGGTGCACCCGGGCTGCAACCAGACCTACGTCAAGATAGGTGAAGGATCTTCAGTGAGATCGCACTCACTTTCCTCACCTAACCAGACAGCTGAGGAAAGGTGTCTGCACACAGGACAGTCCTACAGAGGTGTCTCTGTGCTGAAGTCCTGCTTGCCAACAAGCACCCAGAGAAGACACGACAAGAAGCAACACGATCAAGGCTCTGGCTGCCCTTCCAGCAAGCACTGATGGCCCCAGGCTGCTCCTATGGCTGGGCTGCTCCTGCACCACAGCTCTTTTTCTTCCTGAAGAACAAATAGGAGCTGGCTGTGGGCATGTATTGGACCTTGGAGCCCAGTGCTTGGCTCGGAGTCTTAACTACAAGGGCAGTACCTGCAAAGAACTTAATAGTGACACATAATGGAGCTGATACAGGCTCGCTAAGGAGTATCCCACCAGCTGAGACACAGACAGACCTCCATAAAGGTGTGGAGGATACACATTAAGATATCTTTCCAYGGAGAGCTTGTAGATTCAAGGCATATATTGGGACTAAACACTGATTTCAAAACAAAACAAAACTGCAGTGAAAAGGAAGCATTTACTATATCTACTATGGCAAAACATAGCCAAGAACAAACCAACAAATGAAAGAATGGCCACATGCCCAGATCTCTCCACAGTGTATCCAGAAGACCATAGAAACTGTCCTTGAAAACCTAGTTTGCATGTGTACCGTCAGAGCTCTCAATTATCAAGCCTTGCTGGCATTTGATGGGTCACTGGAGAAGCTCAAATAGCAATACTAGAGCAGACATCTGCAGCATAATAGCTGTCCCTAGACAACTGGGACAGAATACAGCTAAGCTCCAATGCCCAGCTGAATTTAAAAATTGTTATCCCAGACTCTGCCTAATCTAATGTCTTTCCCCCAAGAGTGCCCAGTATTAGACCCTGCATAGGGAGCACACATAAAATTTCCTGAGCATTTCACTGTAAAATATTACCACTTACAGACTTGTTTTCCTGCTAGTTTCACGTGATAATTATTTGAGACCACAGCTGTCAGGCCCACTCATTTCACTGTGGCAAGTATATGGAGATCCTGCTTTTATTCATAAAAATCTCATGCCCAACTCACCCTTCAAGAAAGCACACAAACAAAACAGCAAATAGACATGCATTTTTACAGATACATTCCAAAGAGCTGAGAGCTCTTACCTTCGGATTGTTCTTAGCAGGGTAGACCTGGCCTCGTTGTGGAAGGTAATGATGATGCTGGTTGGTGGGAGATCTGGACGATAGCGCAAAGCCAGACACCTGAGGAGGGAGAAAGATGGCAAAGTCATTCAAGTGMTGAAATTAAAAATGGGATCTCATTTTATTAACATAGGGTTAGAGCTGGTGGTCCTCCAGCCACTAGTGAGTTTTTCCTACAAGAATCCTGTCTGATTCTTGTCACAAAAACAAAAGCAAAAAAATAAAAATAAAAAGGAGTAAATCACTGGAGATTAAAACACAGAAGGAGACTAAGTGCCATTATTAGGAAGGCATGGGCACAGAGCTGCCCTCCTGCAATCCTTTTCTCTAATCACATTAGCTTCCCAGCTATTGGCACACGCCAGTATTAGAGTCATCAGCTTATTTCATCCATAGGAAGCAGGAAGAGAAAGGCCTTCCCTCATCATCATCACCCACCAGTTTCTGGTTGTCAGCAATGCCATATGGCGACACAACTCAACTTACAAATATGTGGTCTCCTTCCGCTGTTAGATGTGGTACACTTGGAGTTAAGGAAACTCCAGCTCCTCCTTTAGAGRAGAACTAAACAGGCTGTAATGTTCTGGCCTAGGTGCCTAGAAACCCACCTGCTCCTCCTGACTCAGTGGCTGACCCTGGCATCACTGTGGGCAATTCGGCTCACCTCTCTGTGCCTACTTCTCCATTAGGCTGTATTTCATTTGTTCAAACTAAAGTCTCCTCAAAGCAGCATCTCTCTTTCATTAACACTCACACGGTGCTTGGCACAATGGGAACCCGTTGTCAAAGCACCAGCGATTCTGAGTACACCAGAATATAACAAACAATTCATACTACATCCTTTCCACTCGTTAACCTCTCAGGCTTTTATTTATTTCTTCCTTATTTATTTTATTTGTTGCTTTTAATTATTTTTAAATGTGTAAAACCAGAAGGTGAGGAAATGTTCTGCCAATCTGTAAAGGAGATGGACTGAGCAGAGTCTCCAAGCCCACCACGGGGTAACTGCCACCTCCTCTTCAMCCCACACTGTGAAGCACACACACTGCTAGCACCCCACCAAGCCTGCAACAGCTTTGTACTCAGATACCTAAGATCCTCCCTTTCATTCCATCAAGGCATTTCTATAAAAACACTGAGAAGTAATCAATCTCAAACAAGAGGAGTAATTTTTAAAAGGCTCTTTTATATGTTATATTGCCTATTGTGCCTTGGAAACTCGAGAGCTAATTCTCATCAGCTTTACACTAGTTAGGGCACAATCTCCTTCAGAAAAGGTTCTCCACACTAACATGAGCATAAATGAGATGAGAAATGGGACCGGTGAGCAAAAAATAGCCAAGGTTCTTGCAGCTGTAAGAAAGCTGAAAGTAAAATCTTTGCGTTATGGTTGAGAAAAGGGGAAAAGCTAGAGGTGCTGTGAGAGTGGGTCTCAAAAGGGGCTGCTAAAGAGGATAGGTGTGTGCTGCCAAGAAACTCCTCCTAGGAGGGCTTTCTTGTCCACGTGGGTTACTAGCAGATTTAAAAGAAATATTCAATTCCAGCTTTTTGGTTTTATTTCTCTCATTTCCTAAAGCACCATTTCTATAGCTTAGCTGCTGGGTAAGTGATTCTCAGCTGATTGTTTCCTTATTCATTCTGCTTTCATGACATAGCCTGACTACAGGGACAGAAAGAAAAAAAAAAAAAGGGACTTAACAGTTTTCTAAATATCCTTCAGAAGATGAAGACAGTCATTGTAAGCACAGCCCCCTTCTGCCCTCCTCCCCAGGTTAAATCTTCACAGCTGTTTTACTCGCTTTGACCATTAGCTGATGAAATAGCAACGCTCTCATACAGCTGCATCCACCTCTTCTGACTTTACTGTTCTCAGCAGGTCCCTTGCAGGCCCTGGGACAACTTCAAGATGACACTCCAGGACCAGGAGCACACCCAACACGCAGCCCCGTGAGCTCTGTTCCACAGCACTGGTCCCTGCTCCTGCTCACATGCACTCGCACGCTCTTCTCTGACCGCCCAAATGCTTCCAATCCATTGCTCAAATGAAGCAGGAAATGGAACTGGGCAATTACTTTTTCAGCAAACTGTAAATTCATTCCCCCAAACCCTAGGCTGCAGTATCTGCAAGGCTAAGTCTAAAGCTGACAAGAAAATTGAGTGGAGTAGAGGGAGGAGAAAGGAAATAGAAATAGCCAAATACTGCAGTTTGATATTATCAGCAGAGAACACTGCACTCAGAAATGCCAAAATGTTTGAGTTATTCTTTTTTTTTTTTTTTTTGGAAATTTTTCATCTTTTCATTTGAAATTGCTTTTCTGTTTGTTCACAAAGTGACCTAAATTATAAAGAGTATGCAGTTGGTTAAATTATTCCAGGAACAAGAAGAAGATGACATCTTGGGTGAAAGAGTATTTGCAAGCTCATATTAAATTACATGCTGTTTTCTTTCATTGTTTCACTCAAAACCATTCCCAAATCCTGTCTCTGAACGAACCAAATTTCCCATTGCCACCTTCTTCTTTTAGTGTAGTTACCAATGCAAAAAAAAAAATTGTTACTCAACCAATTCTAATTCTATATACATCCTCAAAGGACCCCAAAGGTGCATGGCCGGTCAGCATGCAGAAGAAAATTTGATGGCTTTGGCTCATGTGGCAATACCCTCATTCATCAAAGTTACATTTCAGAAGTGCTGAAAGGCAGAGAGTTTCTGAATTATCAAACAGCACCAAGCTATACCCTAAGCTCCCAGCCCGGGTTACTTTGCGTGTCTGCATCATTCAGTACTGCACTTCAACTGAACTTTCCCAAATTGACTGCATGAGAAAAACTACTGCTGTTGCGTGTAGTTTGCTGAGCACAGGCTCAGCTCTTGCTTGCTTTGCAGAGCAGCAGTGACAGACTATGATTGCTCTCCCTGCGCTATTTATATACAATTATCTCCTAACTGTTCCCAGATGTGTGTCCTTCCACCCACTTTAAGCCTGGCATCAAGAGGGGTTCTGCGTAGCAAATAAGGGAAGCTATTTGGGGCAAAAAGAATAAAACAAGATGGAAAATACTAAGTCACCAGTATTTCACTTGTGTTATTATGACAGCTAATAAGCAATGCCACAATGTGTGCATGATGGACTGCCCACTGCCTGCACCCACTGGGGATGTGGTGAAGACTCCCTATATTTGACAATAACCAGGCTTTAAAACTCCAGTTGTGGCTGCAGCAGATGAGTATGCCCTGGATGAGTCTAATTAGATAACATGTATGCAGGAAACACTGAAATGTCGTGTACAACCACCTCCAAAGCTGGCTCACTTGCTCTGCCACTTGCCCCTGCCTTCTGGGTAACGAAGCTTGTAACATCCCAAWGATGGGATTGATCCGTGCTATTGAGTGGGAAGGAGCACTTGGCCAGTGCTTCCCTGCCCCTGCGCTGCAGGTTGATTGGGTACTTAGGGAGCAGCCTATGAGGTGCTTGATAAYATCCTTGCATGCAATTTTACACATAAGGAGCCTCCAAAACAATGGCCAAGAGAAGGCTGCTAAGTGCATATGTTAATCAAAGGAGAAAGGAAGAAACTCCACGGTGTCTTCTCTCACTGGTTCATCTTTTTCCCCCAGTGTAACTGCAGCTAAACATCCTGGCTTCTGAAAAGGCAGATTTCAGTTTAAGTTGTTGACTACAAGTGTTTTTTTGGCACTTGCTTGGGTAATAAAAACCACAGCTTGGAAAAGCATTAAATCCAGCATGTCCAGAATTATTCTGTGCGACAATTACATCTGGGGTAATTTCAATTTAATACCTCACTGCAAGTGAAAATTGCAGCATGCAGCCCTAAAATTGCTGTAATAATGAAAATAAACCCACTAAGAGCTGCCTGAGCTACCTCAGGCTGTCACTGGATAAATGCTTTGTGCTGCTTATGGTATTTCACTGGTCACTCAATTGCCAAGAAAAAAAAAAAAAGAGAAAAAAAAAAGAAACCCACAATATTTTCAGGAAACCAATAAGAGGTTGAGGCTTTATTTTTTAGATTATTCTTTCAAAAAAAAAAAAGAAAAAATAAGTGCATGGCTTATACTTGCAGAATGTTGAGGCGCGAAGGCTGAAGTCATTTAAAGCTGCACACTTTGAAACSCTGCAGTGGGGATAGGGACTAAAATTAGCCCAGATGCTGGCCCGTGAGCTCAGCATGGAAACGGGCTGCTCAGCCATCCCTGAGCAGCTGGGGACCCACGACACGACAGAGGCGACGCTGCCCAAAAAAGCCAGGAGTGTTCRGCCAGCCACAAGTACTTCTTCTCCCCAGAGCTCAAGCAATCAATCTTTTATTTAAAATAGGAAGTTTCACCTTTTTTGCTTCACATTTCCTGCCATGCCATTTCCAAGCACTTCTCAAACCAGGAGGTTGGTTATGAAGCAGACTTGCTGGCTTGTGCTAAGCCAGCACATGAGAAATGCTGCGCAGGACTAAGGGCAGCTCAGCCCACCAAGGAAGCTGAGGCTGGTGACCACACTCCTCTCCCCCCTGCACACATGCACTCCCACTCACTGCTGAGTAGGCGACACTGTTCAACCCTCTCTGAATATCCACCAACTCCAGGCAAAAAAAAACCCAAAAACAAACAAAATTCTTTGCTGTTAATTCTTATTGCAGAGACCTGAATTCCACAGCTTAGGAGCTTATGTTCCTCAGGTGTTAGAGACCCTTGCTTTGCCCCTAAAGGATTTAGTGGGAGTCTAGTTTTGAACTCCTGCTGCAGACACCCTAATGAAGCACCTCCTTGAAAATCCCAGCCTAAACTGGCTGGCCTCCTTACTCCCTTCAGCGTGCAATGAGYAGCACATCTCATTTCCATGTTCTCAATGTGCCATTAATAGTTCAGGAATAAAGTACTGGCTCCCATTTGAAGTGACAGGGAGCCGACAGTCAGAGGTGGCATTCAACATATGGAGCAGGGAMCCCTCTGGCCCATGTAATGACTGTGTGAGGGCTTAGCCTGCACACGGTAGCACTTCCAGCACCACGCACTTCAATAATCCTCCCTCTCTTTTGTGTTT